AGTTGACCATCAGCTTCTGAGGAAGATTTGCTCTCCTTAACTTCCTCAGAAAGTAGAGGCGTTGTTATGCTTTGCTTACTATACATGCAATGTTATCCCTCCAGGAAAAAAATCATCTGTGATGGTAACTCCCAGGACGTGTAGCTGTGTACCCTCTCCACAACCTCATACTTGATCATTACAGGGTTGTGGGTGAATTTTTTGGTCTTTCTGATGTTTAAGACCAGGTTGTTTGTATCACACCATGCTGTCAGGTTCTGAATCTCCTCTCTATATGCAACTTCATTGTTGTTTGTTATGAGCCCAATGACAGTTGTGTCATCTGCAAATTTCACCAGAATATTAGAATCGTGGGTAGCTTGGTAGTCATGGGTAAAAAGTGCATAAAGGAGGGGACTTAGTACACACCCTTGTGGTACACCAGTGCTCAAAGTTAGGGTAGAGGATGTATAATTATCCAACCGCACTGACTAAGGGCGGTTGGTAAGAAAGTCCAATAACCAGTTGCATGTGGAGGATGTTAATTCTAGAGCATGAAGTTTGGTAGTCAGCTGGCTTGGTACAATGGTGTTAAATGCCAAGCTGTAATCAACGAAGAGCATCCTGATATATGTGTTGGGCTTTTCCAGATGTGAAAGAGCAGCATGCATAGCTACACAGATAGCATCCTCAGTTGATCTATTTGCTCGATAGGCAAACTGATATTGATCTAGATCAACTGGTATAGAGTCTTTGATATGAGTGATTACTAGTCGTTCAAAACATTTAGCAATGACAGGAGTGATAGCAATCGGTCGATAGTCATTAAGACATGTTATCAAGTTTTTTTTTGGTGGACAGGCACGATGGTCGTGGATTTCAGGCACGTGGGAACTACACACGAGGAGAGGGAGAGGTTAAAAATATTTGTAAACACCTCTGCTAATTGGTCGGCACAGGCCTGTAGCACACATCCTTGCAAACCATCAGGGCCAGCTGCTTTCCTTATGTTGATGTTATTAAGTGCCCTCCGTACCTCATGTGTATGTAAAACAAGGGGCTGTGAATTTCCCGTCGATTTAAAATGAACTGGGGATTGATAATTGTCTTTTTCAAACCGTGCAAAGAAGCTGTTAAGTTCCTCTGCAAGGTAATCATTATACTTGGATGTAATATGTTGTATATCATTCTTCTTTTTATAATCCGAGATTAATCGGATGTCTTGCCACATTCTCTGAGGATTGTAGTTGTTGCTAAAGTCTTCATCAATCCGCCGTTTATACTTTAATTTCGCAGACCTTTAATTTCGCAGACCTCTTAAGGCTAGCTCTGGCAACTCTGTAAGCAGAGGTATCTCCTGATTTAAAAGCTGTGTCCCTCACCCTGATCAACTGTTTAACTTCATTGTCCATTCATGGTTTCTCATTTGGAAACACTCTAATCTTTTTGTCAACAGTGATGTATCCACACAATAACTGATATATGACAATACAGATGAAGCAAATGTCTCTAGATCTGACTGATGGGAAAATGCATTCCAATCTGTGTATTCAAAGCAGTCCTGGAGTTGATTGATGGCAACTGCAGGCCAAACTTTAACAGTCTTACAAGTTGGTCTGACACTGTTAACCAAGGCTTTATATGCAGGGACGAGAAACAAGAAGAGATGATCTGATTGAAGATGGGGACGTGGTATAGTTTTATAGGCATCTTTCATATTTGTATAAACATGGTCCAAGGTATTTTCCCCTCTAGTTTTACACTTAACATGTTGATAAAATCTGGGAAATACAGTCTTAAGATGTGCTCGGTTAAAATCCCCAGTGATAATAAAAACATCAGGGTGCTTGTTCTGTTGTCCACTGATAACATCATTCAATTGCTCCAATGCCATCTTAACATTAGCCTGAGGTGGTATATATATGGCCATAACAATCACAACAGTATATTCCCTGGGCAAGTAAAATGGTGGGCATCTTAGCATTAAGTATTCCAAATCTGGAGAGCAAAACTTATCAATCGTTGTTGAGTAAACGCACCAGGAATCATTAACAAAAACACAGAGTCCTCCTCCTGTTTTCTTACCGGATTCAGTCGTTCTATCTGCACGATGTAGCGTACGGCCTGCTAGCTCCACTGCCGCGTCTGGTATGCTGGGGTTCAGCCAAGTCTCAGAGAAAATCAGAAGGCAGCAATCCTTTGTGGTTTTATGTGTGGCAATGTCCAGTCGAAGCTCGTCCATTTTTTTGGTAAGTGATCTAGTATTCGCAAGAAAGACACTAGGGAGAGGGGTTTTATGTGGAGCAGCTTTTAGTCTCACTAGGAGGCCTGCTCGTTTACCCCTCTTCTGCTTCCTCTCCCTGCGCCGCCTACATCGTCTCCCTCCATGGATTGGGATCAATGATAAACCCGGTGATCTGCGAATCTCTTGCAGTAATGTTTCCAAGTTGTGATAACCGCCTGTGTAGCTCAGGCTGATCTGCAACAGCTTCTGGCGACTGTAGTGAGTGCTCGCATTTGTTTGTATTACGATGATAGTCAATATTAAAAACATTAACATAAAACAGCACCTATGTGGGGAGCACAAACCCGCTGCGTCTGAGAGCGCTGCCATCCTCAGTTCAGTGAGTCGCCAGAGTTCAGGAGTCACACGTAGCACAACGACGTTCAGAACCGACAAACACAGACTGCACAGACAGGGGTTAAATACAAAGGATAATTGGGAAGACACAGGTGGAATCAAATTAACACAGTTAACACGAGGAGAACTGGGTCACTGGGAGCAAAACACACACAGACAGTCCAGAACCCTGACATATTGCCCCCCTCCTGGAAGGTGCGTCCTCGCACCGTAGAACAACAGAGAATCGACAAAGGAGGGAGGAGACAGGAGGGACTTGGAGCAGGAGGAGTCCAGCTGGACCCAGGCCACAACCATAATGACGGCCCACGGTGGAGCCGACGGAGGGAGGAGCCATGGATGAGGAATGGCCGCCGACTCTAGGGTGCCGACCAACAGCGGCGGAGCAGGTGGTGGAGGAGCCAGAGGCGGAGACGGAGAGCCGATGAGCCAGGGCGATGGAGAGGATCCGAAGGTCCTAGGCGGAGCAGATGGCGCCGGCGACCGAAGTGAAGGCGTGGATCTGGGAGGCTGCGGTGGAGTCGGAGCGACAGAGTCCTGAGGAGGAGCCGAGGGGATGACGGAGCCTGACAGAGCCGGAGGGACGAGGCGAAGTCAGAGGAGTGGAGCCCCGAGGCTCAGGGTGGTCGATGCCAGACCAAGGCGGAGCTGGAGGGACGAGGGAGCCTGGCAGAGCTAGTGGACTGCCGGACCACGGCAGAGAGGAGGGAGTTAGGAGCCATGGTGGAGCCGACGGGTCCACGGGCCGAGGCGGAGTCCGGGGCTTAGAGGCTGGAGGCGGAGTCAAGGGCAACGCCAGCCACGGTGACGCTGGAGGATGGCAGTCACACTGCATAGATGGTGGGCTGAGGACGAGCAGAGGAACTGCCAGACGACAGCGGAGGAGGAGGTAGGAGCGGGTGGGAGGGCGGGCATTTGTGAGCCTCCGGGCTTTCAGGCCAGAACTTAGGAACGGGAGCCCTCTCCTCTTTGGTGTGGCACAGTTGCCGCGCCATATACAGCTCACCCTCAGCCGCGGTGCAGGGGGCGGAGCTCCTCTCACACACCTTGACTGACGTCGTCAGTAGCTCTGGCTCTGGCTTGTCGGTTGCTGCGGGCTCCGGCTCTCCGTCAACGGTGGGCTCGGGCATGTGCTCCGCGCAGCGGGGAGATGGTGGACTGGGCTCTGGGTCTGGAGTGGCCACTTCACAAAGGCGGCAAAACTCGCTCGAGGGCCTTCCTCGGACGACGGTGCTCTGTACGCCGAGTTTAGGCTGGCATCATAGAATGCACAGAGTGCATCCTCCGGGTAGCTGGAGAGTTTGGCAAGGACCAGGAACAGTTTGGTGTGGCCCTGGTGTGGGTACTCCGGGCGGGTGAAGGGATCCATACACGGAGCACAACGGGGAAAAAAAAGACACTGAGGAAAACACGGAAATAAAACGGAGAGGAAACACGCAATAAACTGTTTGTCGGTCGGTTCTTCTGTCACGGATGCCTACTGTGAGGAGCGAGGAACGAGGAAACGAGGGATTTCACACAGAACAGTCTTTAAATATCCACAGAAGGAAACCGTAGCCAGGAGTCAGAACCGACAAACACAGACTGCACAGACTGGGGCTAAATACACAGGATAATTGGGAAGACACAGCTGAAATCAAATTAACACAATTAACACGAGGAGAACTGAGTCACGGGGAGCAAAACACACACAGACAGTCCAGAACCCTGACACTCACCCTCAGGCCATCTAAGATATAGATGTTTGTTTGTTCATCAGAACAGATTTGGAGAAATTTAGCATTACGATACTTGATCACCAATGGATCCTCTGCAGTGAATGGGTGTAAGATATTTTTTTCTTACCAACACACAGCTTTTTGCATCACAATATGTTAATTGATGGATTGGAATGGTGTGGATTACTTGTGGATTATTATGATGTTTTATCAGCTGTTTGGACTCTCATTCTGATGGCACCCATTCACTGCAGAGGATCCACTGATGAGCAATTGATGTAATGCTAAATTTCTCCAAATCTGTTCCGATAAAGAAACAAACTCCTTTACATCTTGAATGGCATGAGGATGTGTACATTTTCAGCTAATTTTTATTTTTGGGTGAACTATTCCTTTAAATTATATATTTCAGTGTCTATCCAAACATTCAAAATGTATGTGTATATGTTATGTATAAATAACTACATTTTCTCTCACAGATCAGGCTGTGATGCTGGATGAGATTTTTCTGAACATGAAGTGTGAAAGGTTATCCACTCTGAAAGGGAATTTTGTGGGAAGATGGATGAAACCCTGACAGCTCCAACTACACAGGAACATGCCTGGGCACAATCGGGGGACTCTGTAATTAAATATATCTATTTTCTTTCTCCTTTCTTCAGGGAGGCTCCATCCAGAATACAAAGTCAAAGCGATGCCTTGAACTCATGAAGAACAATGACAATGAGTTTGGATATCAGCTGATGCTCCAAAAATGCACTGGCCAGAACTGGATCATAACCAATATGATGCCTGGTAGCACCTTATGATGTTACCGTTGAGACTGAAGAATATGTGGATCTGGGTGGACTGCAATGACGAATGATGACAAGCTCAAGCACCTGGATGTCTCTGACTTTGACATCATATGATAAATGTTAAACATTTTTCCTAGCTACTATACTTGTGCATACTGATAAGCCACATTTGGCAGATATTGCATTGTGTGTTTATGAGGTTCTACACTGTACTGAGATTTATTTTGTGCAAGGTATACTTGGTTTTGTCTTGACTTGAAGGTTGTACCGGCTCCAATGCACACACTGAAGCCATACTTGCTACTATGTAGCAAAGCTTTGGCAACATTCTTGCTGTATTTCTTTCTAGTGTCTCAGGTTTGTAGGTTGAGATTATTTTGAAATAACTCTGTACATTTTTGGGACATGCCAATATGTTGGAACATATCTAGATTCAATCAACTGTTTTATATCAACATGTATAGTAAATATTCTTGGTATTTATAATTAATGGCAGTAAAAACAACAAATGCTAAGGCAATTTGTGAGTTCTGCTGATCTAAATTTTTCTACACAAGACTTTGTACCACCATTCCTGTAAACAGAGACAGAGCTGTACTTGTTATGACAGATTAGGTAATTCCTCGCAGCATCAGTGGTTTGGTTGAACAGATGTGCTCTCTCTAGAGTACAACTCAGTGTTTGTTTCTTCAGATACATGGGATGCACTTGCTGCATTCACTAAAATATTCTGTCAAGATCACACTATATTTTACAGCAGTGGTTCTTAACCGGTGGATCACAAGCCAAAAATAGGTTACAGGTCTGTTCGGGATAGCAGAGGAAACCCTGCTCAGTACAATAATTATAACTAACCCATAGATACAATAGCAAACAGTTTTTACAGTTGATGTCAGAGCTGTGCGCCCAATCAAATATGGTCACACTTTAATTTGGGGACCAGTTCTCACTAGTGTTAACAAACAACTTTTGCCTTAACAAACTCCTAATTTGCTGCTTATTAATAGTAAGGTAGTTGTTAAGTTTAGGGATTTGGTCGGGTTAAAGGATCTAAAATACGGTCATGCAGAATAAGGTATTAATATGTGCTTTATAAGTAGTAATAAACAGCCAATATGCTAGTAATATTCATGCTAATAAACAATTAATAGTGAGAATTAGTCCCTAAACAAAAGTGTTACCTCAAATTCTATAATAGTTTGGTGCAAATGTATCTGTCATTTAGGCAAATTAGACAGATGCCGACATGGACAGGTTGCATGACATCATTGGAAAACTATATTCACAAAAAAACGTAAGAGACAAAAGAGTAATGTGGCTCTGATGGCATTAAAAACGGGTATAATCAAGGTTTGTGCCATTCACAATGTGTTTTGTGTGGTGAATTATTGGATTTATTAATATTAGATATTTAAGTTTTTATTTTATTTAAAATTATATGTATTATACAATTGAATGTTTTAAACAAATGTAAAAAAAAAAAAAAAAAAAGTAGATGTCTGCACACTGAAATTATTTTATTACAACCAAGAGCAGGAATTATGCCCAAAGAAAAGCAAACACGTTGAAATGTTACGCTTTATTGTAATACAATTTTCTGGAGCTTTAATTTGGTCCAGAATTCATATTATGCTCAATTATTAATATATATATATATATATATATATATATATATATATATATATATATATATATATATATATATATACAGTATATACTGTATATGCTAGCTAGCAGAACCAAGGCATGAAATCACACTGAAACAGCAGCTCTTGTGTTAGGTATGGGGTGGAAAAACTTGCAAGAAATGCCTTTCATGTTCTAACGAACAGAAGAAGAATAGAAGTTTGTCATTAAAGATGGTCACACTTCAGGACAAAAAAAACTCTTCTAAAGAACCAAACTCAAACCTTATTCATCTGACCCATAAGAGAACTTGATTGAAGAACCCAGTGTACTCAGATCTCTGTGGTCCACTTTAGTGTCTCAGTCCACTTCAGCTGACTTATTTATAGTACTTATATTTGAAACGTAATTGAATATTATATAATTGCAATACAATAATAATAATAACTCTAATGTACATTTTCTGAATAAAATTGTGGTGCTTACTGTGACAAACCCTTGCACTAGGCAGTTGCTAAGGTGTTCTTGGAGGTTCCTAAGTAGTTGCTGGGGTGTTCTGGGAGGCTGCCTGCCGGGTGAACATTGTACACCTGATTGCTTATAAAAGTCATAGCAGTATTGACCTCAATAAGCAAAACAATGTGAGGCCTCATTCATTGGTGTATGACAACTTTTGCCTCAATAAACTACTAATTTGCCACTTATTAATAGTTAGTAAGGTAGTTGTTAAGTTTAGGTATTGGGTAGGATTCTACTATAGCTCATGCATGGAATTAATATGTGCTTCTATAAGTACTAATAAACAGCCAGTATGCTATTAATATGCATGCTAAATAAGCATCTAGTTAATAGTGAGAATCGGTCCCCAAACTAAAGTGTTACTGTATTTTCTTTCATAATTTTCCAACTGAACACACAGCATTTTAAGTTGTTATTCATTGAAAATCTTGCCTTCTCCTGTAGCTCTCAAATCTAATTTGCAATTTCACATATTCAGAACTGGCACATCAGGGCCAATCACAGTAGAACAATCAATGGCTTTGGCGCCACTGATATCAAACCAGGCATGATGTGTTTTGATGTGCCACATCTGAATATGAATGCAAATCCTTGTGGTGTTTATTATGGTGTTTTTGGAGCACCTGATCACTGTATGCTTTGTATGGAAAGGAGCCGCCTTAGACATTTTCCAACGAAAAAAAAGAGCGTTAAATGGTTTAAAATCATGTCAGATACCATACAGAAATTTCATTTTTAGATTAATTATCCCTTTTAAAGACTCCATTGATACTGTTATTCCTTGCATGGTGGTAAACAGCTTTCCCGTTGATGTGTCAAAGATTTTATTCTCAAAAGATGTCCGGATCCTCCCTGTAGTGGGAGTTGTGTGCATCGATAGATGTTTTCTTTAAACTCTCTTCCCCTCTCTCTCTGGTGTGTATCAAGGGAAGAGACGAGTGGCACTTTCTGTTCTCAACTTGCCAGTCCTCATTAGCATCTACAGTCATACTGGGCCAGAGGAATGTTTTCCATTAAATATACATGCACATCCACTTCTACCACCCTCACAATACCACAAAAGTCTGGGAAATATTTGCATTTGCAACGACCTTATGCATGTTGTTAAAATACAACTCAAAACGATTACAACATGCATATCAAATCATAGACAAAACCATACACGCCACTTCAAGAACGTCAGCAGATGTCCATTTGTGCACCCAAAGGTGGCCTGCCAAAAAGATTCTCTGAAAAATTGTGATCTTTACTTTCATTATAAACGCTGGGCGGCAAAGCACAAGTTCAACACATCTCTCTAATCTAATGGTTTAATAGGAGTCACTCAGATCAATATTCCATTCAGACGTTCAGTTGGCAGTGTCCTGGCTCAATCCAAAGATGATCAAAGCCAAACCCTTTTTGGGTTTCAGAAAAGCAATGATGCTACTGTACCTCAACCTACGTATGCAAAGCCGCTATGAGGAACTTATACTTATTTTAGCACTGCATTGCAGAACTACTTCTGAAATTCTATTATTTCATTCAATTTGAATTGATGTATAGCAAAATGCAAAAGAAAAAATACGTTCTATGTAAGAAACTATAATTAAAATTATTTGAAACATATAGCAAATATAGCAACTTCCATATAACTAATTTATCACTCGAAAAGCAAGGTTTGTCAAGAAAAAAAACTGAATGTCGCTATATAAAGCCTTGTTTGAAAGTGTTGAAATTTTTTTTAAAAGTTTAGATAGATAGATAGATAGATAGATAGATAGATAGATAGATAGATAGATAGATAGATAGATCGATAGATAGATCGATAGATAGATGATAGAATGTACTGTATTAGTAAATGTTGAAATTAACATTAAGTTGTATGAATTCTTCAAAAGTCTTTTTCATTGTAACTTCTTGTTAATTACATGTTAACACTGAAAAAACATTACGTTGAAACAATTTTGACTCAGAAATCATTAGCAATTTTCACAAATAATTACAAATAACAGCATTTACAACTTTGAAAAATCTTCTTTTTTTTTTTTTTTTACAGCCTAGATGCAGAAATTCTATATGTGACCTTTAAATTCACCAAGAACATCCCAAGGCGGTTTCGTCAACCTAAATTCAATGTAAAGTCCTTTTTTCGTAATGTGATGTATCAAGGCAGTATTTTTTATTTTAATTTTTTTTTGTTCTAAAACCTATCAACCTTCCGCTGTGTTATATGCAGGTCAAAACAGCAAATGAATTTGTTGACAAGTGTGTTTATGCCCTGATGCGAATCATACTCTCAGGAGATGAGTCATGGAAAGATGAACCTATGAAAGATATCTGTGGATTTTCTAGATGTAGAGTTTGTGTGTATGTGGGTCACGGTCAGTGGATATTATTAAGTATTTATATTTTTAACTCATGGGAGGTCCAGTATACTTACATTTATCAGAGGTTGTGTTGGTTTTGCTTGCAGGATTCATCTGCTGCTGGCTTCTCGTTTCTGCAGAGGGAAACAGATGCTATAAACTGGATGAAGTGCTGTTGTTCCTCCCCTTCGAGTAGATGACAATTTGTCTGCCCTTGCTCATATCTATTATTCAGGTATCTCTCTTTGGGGATGGAGCCAATGAAACTGTGGATGTCCTTAATCAAACACACACACATAGCAGCTTTGCTCCTGATACAGCACCAGTTAAAAAAAAAAACCTAACAAGGTATTCCAGGCACAAAGTAAGTGCAATATGACAATGGGGAACTGGAGGGCTCAGGTTAGCATATGGAGAGAATCAAGATGTAATCTGAGCTGAGAATGGACATGATTCCCAGTGGAATCCAAAGCCGTAGGTGCAGAACAGAGGCTCTCTTTGTTTTCCATTCGCCAGGTATGTTACAGCTGCTGATGGGGGAAGGAAGGTGTTTTGTAGAGCAGTCAAATGCACCTGAGACTCCAGCCCTAAGCATGTAAAAATATGCTTGGTGGAAAACATTGCAATTACTTCAGTTTTTACATTTCTGTGCTTGAATCCTAATTCTACTTTATATATACATATATATATATATATATATATATATATATATA